GAGGTACTGCTTTTAAGAATAAACTACAGACAACATAACTGGATTCTATGTGGTGACCTTAACATTTTAGGGTTGCTTTTAGGTCAACAATCCGGATATACGAAATACCCATGTTTCCTATGTAAGTGGGACAGTAGAGCAAGATATGACCACTGAACCAAGAAAAAATTTAACGCCTGGCTCCAAAAACGTAATTCGGGAAAGCCTAGTTGATCCCGAGAAAATTTTATCACCCCCTCTACATATAAAATTGGGGCTGATGAAACAATTTATCAGAGCTCTAGACAAAAATGGTGGTTGCTTTAAGTACTTGTGTGAAACATTTCCGGGTCTCTCTGAAGCTAAATTAAAAGAAGGCACCTTTGTCGGGCCACAAATAAAAAGGTTGATGAAAACTAATGAAATTGAGACGGTTATGCAGGAAGACGAAAAAGAAGCATGGACAGCTTTTAAACAAGTTATAAATAAGTTTCTAGGAAACTACAAAGACCCTGAATTTGAAAGTATTGTTAAAAAGATATTGGACAAATTTAGAAAGTTAGGCTGTAACATGAGCATAAAAATTCATTTTCTACATGCTCATCTTGACTATTTTCCGGATAATCTTGGCGATGTCAGTGAAGAGCAATGGGAGCGCTTTCACCAGGACATAAAAGAGATGGAACGGCGATATCAAGGGCGCTGTGATATCAAAATGATGGCCGACTACTGTTGGATGCTTAAAAGGGACCGTCCTACCGCAGAATATGCACGAAAAACAACAAAAAGAAGCTTTTTCGGAAAGAGAGAAAGAATTTTCAAGAAAACAAAGGATTAATGTATGTTATTTTTTAACTACTTCCCCGGTTTTATTGTTTGTTTTCTTGGTTTATTATTTTCTTTTTTATCCTAAGTATTTATAAATATATTTTTACTTTTTGCGTTCTTGTAGTATTTTGTTTAAAAACCTTACGCAGATTTGAAATCAGCGTCACTGAAATACCCAATTTCAGTTCAATTCATATTTTACAGAGTATTTAAACGCAGGCCTGTGTAATTTGTTTTTTAAATTTTCTATATTTTTCTTTAAAACTTTTATAAACTAATTATCTTATATTTTTTTACTTAATTTCACCATGTGCTTTTTTCTTACTTGTCAAATATTAGTTTTAAATTTTTCCATATCTGGTTTCATGTTAGTTACCAACTGTCATCTAAAAATTAAAAACAAATATTTTTTAGTAATTTGTTCAAGGTTTTCACATTTTTAATATTATTGTGTTTATTTACAACAAATTTGCTTTTTTCAAATTTTTCATTTTATTGTCTATACAGTATGTTAGCCCTTGGATCCCTCGAAATAAAAAATAATTATATTTGCACGTGAGAGAAATGAGCTAAAGCTCTCTAACTCTAAATGACAAAATTATGTATCGACAAATTTATATCACAAATTCTCAAAATTTAGATAGTCATTATTTATCAAGGTCTCGTTATATTTACCCTTGAACATTTTATACAAGCAATCTAGGTTATGTTAAGTATAGATACTTATATAGTTATTTATATTATTAAGTTAACCAGAAACTGGAATTTTGTGTTTTGTACCGAGGCGATGCCGAGGTTAGTAAATTAGGGGCCATCCATAAATTACGTCACACGAATTTCACTATTTTTTTAACCTCCCGTCCTCGTCAAATTTGTAAGACTCCCCCTTCCCTAGTGTGACGAATTAGTTTTATTTCCATTTTAGTTTTTCGTTAATAGTTAAAATTTCGAGTTTTAATACTTTAGATATATTATATTTTGAAATGTGACGTCACGAAATTTAGGACCCATCCCACTCCTTGTCACACAATGTCACTTCGTAGACCCTCTGGGTTACGTTCATGACGCTTACTCGATTTACCCTGAGTTGACTCAAACCGTTCATTATGCATCACTTGTTTACACTTTTACTCGCGAGAGTCGTTCACGAGTCGGCTAAAATTTAACACAGAGTTTACATTCTTTACGCTGGTCAGATAGGTGCGTAAAAATAACTCCACATGCGCAATAGTTTCTAAAAATTTTGTTGGTTAGGCTGTAGATAAAATTAGGCAATCCAACGTCCTGTCAGAATGGATAAAAGTGGCCGATGCTTGCAAAAACAACAAAACTTCTTGACCTGACTTTTTCATTAGTATTTGACTGTTATTACAAATCATGCAATTAATATGACTTCTTTATTTTTAATTATAATACATAATTTAAGTATAATTAAAACAAAATAAGTATGGAACATGAATTAAAAATAATTGTGGCTATGAGTATAGGGAAACTTCACATGAGAACAAAAATTATTTTTATTTACAGCATCATTTAAAATGATTTTCTGTGAAAAATAAATTATTAGAGAAACAACTACTCGTAATTTATTGTTGTTATTGTCCATCTTTAGCAAAATATTTTAAATATTGCAAACCTATCCTAAAAACCAAAATAAAAAACATCCCACTACCCTGCCTAGTACCCAACAGCGTTCATAACGGAGCCATAATATTTTAACTCTGCGAGTTTACCCGACGCCATTTTAACTTCACTCGGGTAAAGCGTCATGAACACACCCCTGCCCCCCCTTAACGTGTAACGTAATTTTAGGACGACCTCTTATGCAATATCCTTAGAGTAAAATGTAGGTAATTATTTTTTTTTTAAATACCTATATTCAATGGCTGGAAATTGGTTTTACAACACATTTTTACTAAACCGATTCAATTTAATGAACTCTTTCCAGGCAATATGGTCGCTCGCAAACGACCCGCTTTGAGCAATCTATATAACTATATATGTATCATTGACACCGTCAATGACAACAGGCCCACAGGGTTTCCTCATTTAAACTGTCAGTTCCTACTGGCAGCATTTTGACAGGTCGTTGGAATGCCTAATAGTCCATTAAAAACAAGTAATTAAATAACCGTTTGTGAAATATATCCCAACTCTATTAGAGATCGTCTATGAATTAAGCTGTAATAAATACAAATTAAACCTGTCTCCTGTCTTTATTTTAAAATCTTTGGAAATTCTAAAACTCCTGCATATTTTGACAGCAGTAATATATGTTTTCTGAACCCCTTAAATTTTAAATATACACTCTGCACAAAAATTAACGCATCGCTATTAAAAGTGACAAAAAGTTTTTCTTTATTTGATTTTTCGATATATTTAAGTATTGGGACACCCTGTATATTAGTTTTGGATACTTACATGCAAAAAAGGATGAGTTTTTATGTGTAAATGTTTTTGTAAAATAAATACTAATACTTTGAAATTGCAACCAACTTTCGCGATTAGTTGCTTTCAATATTTAGTAAACTTAACTTGGTTTTTGTGGTATTTAATTTTGAAAATTATTGAAATGAATAATCCTGACCGCCAGAGAAGAAATTTGGGCCATGACGAAGTGGTTAGAATCATCTCTTTCAAATCCTTTATTAAAAACTTATGTACAATAATTTACATTAAATATCAAATAATACTTTATTTTAATAGGGGGACTTCCAACAGTGCTTCGGAAGTGTGACCTGCCTATTATTTCGTCCTCACCGAGGCTCGCCGTTGTTCTGGCCTAGTATTAAACTGTTATTTTTGAGCATTTGTGTCTAAATAGGCATCTCCTGGTTAATAAACATTATATGCCTTTTATGTGGGCTAGCAAGAGCGATAATGGTGTTTGAGTGAGTTTTTGTCTGAATTTAATTGTGTGTGTCTTCCCTGAAAAACGTATAAAAAACAGGGTTATGGTTAGAATCATTACATTACTTGAAGAAGGACGTAGTCAACGTTACATTGCAAATGCTTTTGATGTTCAACAATCAACAATTTCCAGGGTAGCTGCCCGGTTTAGAGAAACATGGCAATACGACAGAAGGCCTGGCCAAGGTCGTCCAAGGGTTACCACCCGATTTTTAACATTAACCGCTCTTCGAACTAGACACTGTACTGCGTGAATGCTCCAAAACGAACTAGCCGTTGCCCGCAACACAAGAATTTCTGTGCAAACAATAAGAAATCGTCTTCGGGAAGGAGGAATTAGAGCCAGGGTGGCCGACTTGTGTCCACGCCTTACCAGGGAGCATCGTGTTGCACGGTTGGAGTTTGCCAGAAATCATGTGAATTGGGATATAGACGATTGGTCCAATGTTCTGTTTTCTGATGAATCTAGATTCAGCCTGTTTTCATCTGATCGACGAATTCCACTCTACAGGCGTGATGGCGAACGATACTTTCAGTGTAACATTAGAGAAACGGAACCTTTTGGTGGTGGCTCTGTTATGATGTGGGGAAGAATTTATTTTGCGGCTCGTACATAGTTAGTACCAGTTGTGGGAGGAAATTTAACAGTTGCAAGATATGTAACGGACATTCTTGAACCCTATGTTGTACCTTACGGTCAATTCATTGGTGACAATTTTGTTTTTATGCAAGACAACGCTCGCCCGCACACAGCTTTAATTGTTCGTCAGTATCTTAACGCAGTTGGTATTCCCACATTGGATTGGCCAGCTCGAAGTCCTGATTTAAATCCAATAGACCATGTCTGGAACAATTTATCACGACAAGTACGAAATCGATCAATTGTTCTTAACACCTTAAATCAACTTCAAAATGCTCTAACCGAGGAATGGGACAATTTGCCTGAACAATTTATACAAAGCCTGATTTTAAGTATGCCACGTCTATGTCTGGCAGTACTTAGAGCACGGGGTGGTAATACAAGGTATTAATTTTGTTTTATTTATCGATTGCACCCAAATTACTTTTTTAAATTTGTAAAAAATCGAATAAATTATTTGGTCCCTAGTTCCTAATTTATAAGACACCAACTATAAAAAAAAAAATCAAAAATTTTATGTTTTGTAAGAATATTGAAATGATGCGTTAATTTTTGTGCAGTGTATTTAATTTTTTTGGGTGGGTGGGATACCTAGACTTTAAACATGTCGATGATTAATTCCATCATTCTATTTTTCTTGCAGGATGTTGTTACAGCAAACCACTTCTGGTGCCTGGAGGAAGAGCTTTCGTATGGCCCTCGGTTCAAAAATTACAAAGGTTTGTACATTTTTAAATTTTTATTTTCTTTTACTTTTATATCCCACTAACAACGTAAGTTGTTTGCTTATTTCTATATAAAATAAGTAGATGTTTTCATTACTTTATTATGTTTCAATGTCAAGAATATTTCTAAAGTAACTGTTATTTAATGTTACATAGTACGATATGTTAAGGAATGTTCCGATGTTTACATGTTTTTTATAACTAAATAGTTCTGCCAAAGATACATTGTATGATATAGGTGTATCAATTTCCATTAAAAAGGTGCATAATTCAAGGATTTTCCGCTAGATGTCAAGTGTGTCGCATGGGCAAAATAAAAAACGGTAATGAGTAATGAATGAATTTAAATAATAAATCGTAAAATATGCTATATTAGTGATAACGTTAATTTGTGTTCCAAAGACAAATGGCAGTGACAATAGGCTTATTTTATTTTATTTCTATTATTTTCAATATTGCGTTCATTTAAACATAAAAATAATTTTGTTACATTCCTTTAAATTTAAGCTACTTTTTGTTTTCACGACCTGCAAACAATATTTACATCAGACGAATAAATATGTCACAGGAGTCATCCACTCCTCATTGGTCAACGTCACAAGCGTAAGTTTCAAACTCATTTAACGACTAATCTCCTCCCTCTCAAAAACAGAGCTTCAGGTACCGTCAAACATATCACAACGTTTTGCGGCATTATTTTTTCTCAATTTTTATTTTTCAATTGACATGGCTTAGGGCCAGTCTTTTCACTTCTGAGTAAAGTTGAAAGTAATTACTTGCTGATTAAACTATAGGGCTATTATTTGTTAATCTGTCAAGTAAAGCTACATGATTCTTTCGTTCGTCCCACTGGTTTAGGAATGAACTATACCAACGGACACTAAAACTTTCGTTTGGCCCGGTGTAAAACCCACTATACCTTCCTGTCGGCGATGTACTGTCCACTGGTGGATATTTTCTCCACCAGCTATTTAGCAGGAGTGAATTACACTTGACATGTGTATAAGGAATAAGGAGGAAGTAAATTAGAATAAATAAAGTGGTGTAACGGGTGTAATTTACACTGGTGGACACTGCATCAACAGTGAACGAAAAAACTAATATTTTTTCTAATTTTAACTAAAATTGTGTTTTGGTTAACCATCATTGACATTTAGGCAACCAATATTACTTTATTGTATTGTTAGTTGCATATGCATCATTTTATTGACAATTAGAACCACGATTAGAAAGAACATCATTATTAATTATTTATTTTTAGCGACTTTCAGTGTCTTTATATTGTTTATTAAAGTTATTTCGTTTTTAAAAAAGTGGGTTATTTTGTCGTGTATTGTGTTTTAATTATTACTAGGTTGTAAGTTTAACCAAATTCTATTTTTATAAGTTAACCTGCCTTTCCTTGATAAAAACTTTCAATAATAACGTATATTATTGATTTTAAAACCATTTTTATTTGTATTCTTTTCGCAACTGATGACGTAATGAATTTTTCGAAACCAGTTTCATGATGTTCAACATTATGCAACTGGTTGCGTAATATAGGTGATTTTAACACATGTTACGATTACAAAAAATGTCACTTTATATGTCAAAACTAGAAAAACATATTTATCAAACTTTTCATATCAAGAAATTTTCTAATAATGGAACATAGTTTTAAATTATATAGTTTAATAGTGTTTTAATCAAAGTGAATTAATAATTAATATAAACAGGCGTTGAAATACAGTGATAATTCGAAATCAGGCAAATATTTTTATAACTTTTTATTTTTTTGGCTAAAAATTTTAACGCATGTAAATGTAAAATGGTCATTTGGAACAACGGTTTTAAAACCATATGAGTCTTTAGAATTCTCATCCGAATATCATAATCCTAACAATCAAAATATTGCAAATTCAACATCCGTGCAGAATTGTATGATTAATGTTGTAAGAATTCAAACCGGCGTTGATAAAAAAACACATTATATAACATTTAAGAATGCGCTTTGAGGCACAGACACTTGCATTTATGCATTTCCTGAACTTTTGCGAAATGGTATCAGCGATATATACCTACTATTTCATAATAATTGCGCACACCCTTTTTCTTCCATAAATATAATTTGATTTCGCTCTTCATATTTTATAATATAGATGAAAAATGCGTCGCAATAAATATTACTTTCAAGTTGGATGTACAGGAAGAGTCTGCAAAACGTAAAATATTAAACGGATAAATTTGTTATAATATGAAATTTAACCGGTTATAGAAAGTAGTGTACCTACAGTAAATATAATAATTTAAACGATTTTATAACAATTTATGTAAGTTATGTTGTTATGGGATGTCAAATGCACTGCAACTAAAAGATCTAATGTTTTGTTTTTCTGTTACAAATTGAAACTCAAATGCAACACAGTGAATATGTCTTATGTATAGCTTTCGGCAACCGATTGGAGCCTTCTTAAGTCTTCATAAGAATAAAAAAAGGTCAACAACAAAAGAATCTTTTGTTGAAAGTACAGAAAAAAACGTATAGTTATATTTTTATCATTCTATGTTTTATTATTATTTTGATGTTTTTTTTTTTGTAATTTGTCAATTATATTTTTACCTAACAAGTTCTGGAAATATGTATTCAACTCAAAATCTTTTTCTTTTAATAATAGTTAAAAACCGAAGGCAAAATAATCAAAAAGCCCATCGCTCAAGAACAAACCCCTTTCCTTGGGAGACTCGTTACCCTTCACTTCTGTATTTTTCTCGTCTAGCTCATTTGGTTTTTATAAACACATCCAGGCGTTTTTATGGCTACTTGGATATCTATCATTATAATAATAAGTAAATTTTCACCTGGAAGATGCTTGGATATTTACCTAAACTTTCAGATTTTTCACCTTAGTTGTTACCAGGTTAAAAAAAAACCTTGTGAAAAGGAACCTTAAACCCTCCGGCCTAGCTCAGACAGTGTTATATTTATGGGTCGGTGAAATTCGGCTTAGAATTTAACTAACAAGTTAATGGCACTATCTTTGTTTAAAAAGACAAAGAAAATATTATATTAATGATTATTGACGCCATGTATTTAGGTGTTTAATAAATACAAAAAATTATGCCATTAGCCTGCCAGCTGAAAGTTAGAAAAAATTAAAATAGTTAAATTAAAAACAATGAACTTTTAATGGATATAATGAACAAGAACTTGTCTCTACTGATTAACACAATTAACAATTTGAAAGTTTTACAAAAAAAATTAGATTAAATTAAATAAACTGGAAAGTGACTTTCTGGACATGTATTAAATTTACACTTATCTGACACTTATCTGTTTCGGCTAGACGGTAGACGATTTTCCAGCACTTAACTGGGCCATGGTTGAGAAAGTGACACCTCCAGGGTGTTGTCGTTCATTCCAGAGTCCCAAAAGATCGTGGTACAGGTGTCTGGTTGGCTCTAGTGGCGGTATTCCCCCGATCTACTGGTTGATTAACTGCCATATGTAGTGCTTCCCGATATCCTCTTCATGTCGCTGTATCCTCTTTAGTAGTGCTTTATCCTCCTTATGCCATCGTCTTTAGTCGCCGACTAAAAAACATAGATAACTCAATATCACACCTCTAAAATCGAAAAAAGGAACGCTGAGCATTCCAAACCTATTAAATACACAATTCCATCGAAATACTACGCAAAAGCGAAAATATTGATTAAACAGTCCAAGGACAGCAGGTGAACAAGTGATCTAAATTAAAAATTTAAAAAACCGACTTCAAAAACGTGCAGATGCCGTCACCACATCTTATCCAAATTTATATGTGACCACCCCTGAGGTACCTCCTTACTAACAAAAAAAGAATCATATAAATAGGACAAGGCGGTAAAGCATTATCGCTAAACATACATGAAAAATGAAGAGTTAGAGGAATTTCTCATGGACCCAATTATTAGATTTTGACCAAATTTATATGGGACAAAAAAAAATCGCGACGAATTGATAACCTCCTCCTTTTTTGAAGTCGGTTAAAAATACAAGATTCATACAAATGATATTGTTGAATGTTTCATACCAGGTTGGTATAAAAATTATTGTTGAGTGTTGTTAATATTTCCGAATGGGCCCGTTCACTTTCATTTTTGAATGTGAATTAATTATATATTTATAAAGATATTAAACTCTTTTGTCTGGTGGTACTTTTCCCGTTAAGATATTTTTGCTAGAAGTAAGGGAATTCCCATAAAATTCTTTCAGTGACTCATTGCGTCAGATAATCCCTAATTCCGTTCAGGTCTCGTATCGGTTATGCTTAAAGACGGCGAGGTTGTCGGAAGTATCCCTAATATAGCATTTCTGCATTTATATATGTAATTTAAATAGTAAAATTCCATTATTTTTCTAAAAATCATGAACTTATATTTTCAGATTTAAAGATGGAAGCTTATTTTTTACTTTTTAATTAAAACAATTATTATTACTCAGGCTGAAAATTAACCAGACCATAATCAAAAAGTAGAAATTTGATTTGCAATATTTATCTGGTAAACGTGGCAACGTTGCATTTATTTCTAGAAGTGTGTGTAGACAACACTATTTAGAAGTACTTACAACGTTGTCACGTTTACCAGATACATTTTCTCAAATAAAATTTCGATCTGGTAATATTCAGCTTGAGTAATACTAATTATTTTTATTAAAATTTAAAAAAGGTAAGGCTTTATCTGAAAATATAAACACATTATTTTTAAAAAATAATATATTTTTATCATGTAAATTCCTTTAATAAATGCAGAAGAAGAATGGTGGTGCAATGATACATCCGACAACCGCGCCCTTTTAACTATTAACCGATACAAGACCTGAAGGGAATTAGGGGTTTTCTGACGCAATGAGTCACTGAAAGAATTTTATGGGAATTCCCTTACTTCTAGCAAAAATATCTTAACGGGAAAAGTACCACCAGACAAAAGAGTTTAATATCTTTATAAATATATAAATAATTCACATTCAAAAA